AATTTTTAATTTTTTTTCGTCGCGCTGTGATGACGTCAAATGCGCGCTTTCGTCGAGCGCGATTTTGTCCTCCGCGGTTTTGACGGGTAACGCCCCACCTGCTCACTCTGTACTTATCAAAGAATTCTTCCCAGTCTCTTTTAGACATGCAAATTCTTCACCTCCATTCAGAAGCAAAATCAATTTTTAAAAAGATGCATTTGCAACACCCAGAATAAATAAAAGGGCTTTAGACTTTAATCAAAACCTCCTTTCTCCCTCCACAGCCCCGAAGGACCCTTCCAATAAAATTCAGCCAGCGCTTTACCTTTCGAGCAGACAAAACACCAGCTGACGTTCACGTGGGCATGGTGGCTTTTCCCTTTGGTGGCAGTGAAATGGTTGGTACACACAATGCTGCTGGAGGAAAGCATGGCACAACCAGCCGCCACACAACTGTCCCCTGCGTGGTAAGCCACCGGACAGCGAACGCAGCGTATCATTTTGCCTGGTACGAAGAAAAAGGCACACAGCGTTTCGGTCACAGTATATTGGCCAAAACGCCTAGAAACTTGAAAAGAATTAAGAGTGCAGCAAAATCCCTAACTAGCTAATAGGTGAGGGAAGCGTTTCCCAACCCCTCAAGAACGGAGAAGGTCGGCGGATCTCAACTCCCAGAATTCCCCAGCCGGCACAGCGGACTTCAATTCTGCAGCTGGCTGGGGAAATTCTGGGAGTTGAAGTCCGCCCACCTCAAAGTTCTCAAGGGGTTGGGAAGCATTTTAGATTACGGCCTGAGCTCTCATGAGCTCCTCTCTGAAACAAAGGTGAGGGTCCTCTTGAGAGATGCAAAACGAGGCTTATAAAATGGACATTTGGACGCGAGTCAAACTTTCCTAAGAGAAATGCACCAAACCCCCCGTCTCCTAATTGGACTGGGAGATAAAATGGGCCTTAACTCACTTAACAGCTTAACAGTTAAGCTTAACTGAAATGTTAATTCACTTAACAGCTGCCTCACTTAGCAATAAAAATGTTGTGTGCTCTGTTGAGGTGGTGAGATGAAGGACTACCTGTATCGGTGACAGGAGTCGCAGCACCTCCTCGTGCTCCCGGGAGCCCTCCGGGGACCATCGGCAGCCTCCGAAGGGGACCCCAAGAAGAGGTTCGGAGGAAAGGAGGGTGGGGGGGGTGGAAAGAAAAGAAAATACCTTTAGATACTTTGGGGTTGGAAGGATTCGCCACGTGGCAACTCTCGCAGCTGTGCAGGGGGCACCGAAAGCCTCGGTTTTCCACCATGGTGAGGGGGAATTTTTTCACACAGGCTTCGTGGTAAAACTTCCCGCAGTGAGAGACGATGCAGCGCTTAACTTCCAATTGCTTCTCCTTGCACACGAAACACGTGTGGATCCCTAGAGGGAGATTTAAAGCCACATTCAGGCGTTTCTCACGAATAGAAGGGAAACCAGGATCGTTTTTAACTGCGGCTGGAGTTAAAGCTGGTATTAAAGCATCTGGAATTAAAGTAGTTGTTTTCTTTATTTAAAAAAAATATTTTTTTTCTTCTTCACTAGCCTCCGCCTTTCAGCGTTAAATGTCTACCTTTGTAAATCTCTTTTAGGGAATAGTAGGGAAAACCGGAATGGTGACTACTGTCGGGTGGATTCCGTCATTGTCAGCGGGAGAAGGGAAGCCTTTATCCCTCTTGGGAGACGGGTGGATGGAGGGGAGGTCCGTCTCCAGCTCTCTCCATCAATCAACCAACCGAGAATGCTCCACTCGGCCTCCACAATTAATCACCACGTTCTTGGATCTTGCAGAAATCCTTAAGACTTTTGCCTTACAGGTAGTCCTTGAGTTACGATGGGTTGTTTAACGACTGCTCAAAGCACCCAAACTTTGTTTGTTTGACGGGGGGCACTACAGTGGCCCCATCTTTGAAATCAGGGCATAAGTAATTTTTTTTGGGGGGGGGTCTCATTGCAAAATCAAACCGGTCGTAAGTTGAGGACCACTGCACAAAACAAAGGGATAAGGAACCTTGTCCTCCTGAGCAAGGAGAGCAGGGAAACACAGGTGCATCATTCCTGCTTCCAACCGTTGCTTTTTGGCACGGAGGCGCCTAGAGGGCGAGATCCAAGGGGCGACCGTTTTGCACAGGGAGCGTGCCAAGGCCGCCAATCCCCACGGAAGGAGACTTGCCTGAGGTGCACTCGCCGCACACGAAGCGTCCTTTGGGCCTCCCGGAGAGGCCGCTGCAGCTGGCATGGAAGGCCCCAAGACAGCGTCCCTCACACAGCATCACTTCCCCGGGCTTCTCACAGACCTCGAGAAGAGAAAAAGGAAACCTTACAAGGCGAAGTCAACACGTCCTCTGCCTTCATCCAGAAGGAAACCAGAGTCCGAGGCAAAGGATTGCTCAAAGAGAGCCACGTTGGCACATCTGGGAAAACCTGAATCTGAAAGCTTCCCGGTTTCCCTCCAGCCCCCCAGTTGAACGTTTCCCCTCACCCACCCACTCACAAGCCCATCCCATGGTTCAACCTCCCACTGCCATGCTGGCAGTTCCACCCATCCACTTCTGGTCAGGTGCAGAGGCAAAGGATGACCTTGACTTTCTAGAAAGAATGTTGTTATGGCTGCATAGCATCTAACTCCATACAATCCCCCCTCCCATCTTCCAACCACAGAAAATGCATAGCAGAATAACAGAAAGTGTGGCCAGCCAGAGATCCAAAAGAAAAGATGGCGGCAGGCCTGACAGGCATCTTTTTAAGGGCTCCTTTCCTAAAAACAAAATTCAGATTAATTGAGCAGAGGCCCCTTTCAACCTCGTTGGAAAGCGTCTCGAAGGGACACCCGTGACAGCCACAGACCTGGCTTTGAGGAGGAGCTTCCAGAGAAGGGTGGGCATTTGTGGCTTCTTGAGGTGGAGAAAAGAAACATCTGCAGATTCTTTTAGTACGGGGAGTCCGATGGATATTTCAACCTACCTGCTCATGTTACGTTTTCAGATTTACAAATAAGAACACGCCTTGACAAGCCTTAACTGCTTACTATCAAGCGGAGGGACCACATAAGATGCATTTTTCCCCACGATAATCTCTCCCCCACCTGGTCTTTGCAACAGTTTTTGGAAAAAGAACTTGCTTGAGGAGAACCTTCCTCTCTTACCTGACAGACAAACTCCTTCCTGGCTGTGGCCCCCCGGTCGGACTTCTTGGACAGCTGGGAGGCCTCTCCAAGTCCCTCGTCGGCGCTTTCGTAGGGAGACTCCGATCTTTCGTCTCCTGGGCCATCTGAAATCTAAATACCACAGCACAAATTAAGAGCCTCTGGGCCTTCTGAGCTAGCATGGCTTCTCTGGGAAAGAAACTTATGATTTATTAGCCACGTCAGCCCTCCAGGAGTTGCTGAACTACAGATCTCATCATCCCCAACCAAGTCCTGCGGGAGGGAGCCCTTAAGATTTCTTCTTCAGCAACGCCCCAAATTGTCGTCCATCAACTTTCATTTGTGACGTCCGTGTGGCGCATTCAGTGGGTTAATTAATTCCAAGATGGATAATTTCCAGAGAACAAGCGGCTGACCTGTGGTGCCAACTATGAATTCATACGTGTGACTCCTATGACTGACCAGAAGCTCTTACTGGGGCCTCTCAAGAGGTGAGACCTCGCAAGGAAGGGAGCCCTCGAGGGCGTGGGGCTGGCTGATCAAAGCTTTCCCCTCTCTTTCCCCATCAGGTGGGAGTTCTGGAAGCTGAGCGCTCAACAAACCGAGAATCTGCAAGGCGTGAGTGCGCAGGCGACCATTTGAAAAGATGACAGGCAAACAAGCTAGTCCTCAGTGGGAGATCTGGGTGCGTCCCTTCTTGCTTGCTACGGGGGAGTGACAAATTCAGCCGGGAGGCAGGTCAACCCTACTGTTAATTTAGCAGAGCACAGCACAGCTCTGCCAAAGGACACGGGTGTGTGCCGGGGCACATAAGTGTATGAACATGTCGCATGAAGGTTTGCTGGTAGCGCGAATGTGTTGGGGTCAAATTGGGCCACAAGAGAGGGCTTCCGGCACAGGAAGGGCCCCCTGGCCAACTCTGAAGGAAGGGCTTAGCAGGGAGGGGGATCTTGAGCCAGGGAGCGAATCTCTGCATGGAAACCTGTTTTTTCTGTCCCCATCGTAGCCCACCTGCGAGAACGACAGGGTGCCTTTATCAGGGACAGGGCTCTGAGCCCCGGCTGCACAAGGGTCCCCACACATCGGCCATGGGTAGACGGCAACAGGGAAGCAGTGAGAGGGGCCGGTTCATGGGTGGCTCTGAAGAGGCTTTGTTAGGAAGACCCCTGGTCAGGGAGATGTCTACGGAGATCCCCAGTCATCCAAGTCATGGTTCTCCCCAAACGGCAGATGGATTTTCTTGGTTTTCCCTGGAAGACATTTTGCTTCTCACCCAAGAAGCGTCTTCAGTTCTGACAGAAGACAGAGAAGCAAAGCGTCTTCAAGGGAAAAGCAAGAAAATCCATTTGCCATTGGCGGGGGGGGGGGGGACAAACTAACTTTGGGACCTGCTTAGAGAATTATCCTATTGACATCTGTAAAAAGTGAAGAGTTCTGCGCACTAAATTTGCACATCCTCCTTGGATGAGAAGAGTGTTTCACTTAAGGACAGAAGACTAAGCTGGCTTTCCGTCAGTACATAATGCGCAGTGATTGTTGGGTCTTCCACTCAGAGGAGAAACTGAAATACGGTTATCGTGTTACACAGGAAAAGCAGGACCATCGTCCAGTCCACGAGATCCTTCTGGAAAAATATCTAGTCCCGTCCAGTGTCCTTAGTAGGACTTGTCTGACGGACGAAGCCAGGGGCTCTCCACCTTTTCTTCACCATGGACCCCCCTTAAGTACCTTCTGTGGCCACCGACCCCGGGACTAAACTCAAGGTTTAAATCCCAACATTTCTTCAAGCCCCCACGGACCCCCTGTGAGGCCATCAGGCCCCCCCCCAGGGGTCTGTGTCCCCCAGAGGCTGAGAAGCTCTTAGGACGAGGCCACCTACTGTGGGGTGACGGGAGCGGAGGTCTGCCTGGAGGACCTTGTGAAGGACCTGGGCAAATGCCCCCGGGCAGGAAGAGGAGGGGGCAGCCCTGGTGGGACCATCAATACCGCCGCCTGGGTTCATGGATGACACACGGAGGGAAGACACGCAGCCGAGAGAACGGCTCTTCTCGGTCAATGAGCTTAGTTCCCTGTGGATGAACGTCAAGGGCTGCTCAGGGTCAACCTCTTCTCCTTTGAAGGTGGACCGTTGCACTCTTACTCTTAAAGGGGGGGGAATTATTCTGCTGTCCAGGGTTCAAATGAAAGCAGTGCAACCGAGGTTCTTATCAAGAGCATCAAGAGGGTGGGAGAAGGAGACCCCGCTTGCAGGTCTACAAGAAGGACATCTACCTCGGTTCCACCACAAAACCGCGGTAGACTAAAGCGCGCTCGATGAAAGCTCGTACGTGATGTCATCACAGCGCGACAAAAACAGCATGCTGTGAGCGGTAAATTTAAAATTAACGCGTAAATCTAAACCTAACCCCCCCAAACCTAACCCTAAACCTAACACTAACGCTTAACGTAACCCTAACCCTTACCTTTATGTGAATCGGCT